TTCTCATTCTCATTTTTTTTTCTCTTTCTTCATTTCAACCACACATTCTATCAATAAAATAATATTACACATAAATCTAAAAATTTTCCTTACTTNATATATATATACACTAATTCAATCCTATAATCTTGCATCTATATATCTTGACAAGAATTAAATAAATAAAAGTTTGTAATGAAATTGAGTCCCAAGTACTAGAAAGTATTTTCTTGTAATTTAATACATGTTTTTGACATTTCAAGCATTGTTTAGAGACCAGAAAAGAATAAAATTATGCATGAATTTAGCCCTCATTTTTCCAAAACTCATTTTCGACCACACATTTTCCCATTAAATAATTTTACACGTAAATTCAAAAAAAAAAAAATCTTATTTTTTAACCNTCCCATTAAATAATTTTACACGTAAATTCAAAAAAAAAAAAATCTTATTTTTTAACCACACATTCTCCATCAAATCACTATTCTAAAATGCATTTTTTGCAAAAAAATAGAATAAAATAATGGGGCTCAAATTTCTTATGCCAACTTTAAAGACCCAATGGCAATATTTTTCAATTGCCAAAAAATTCTATTTCCTTGACTTTCCGTTCCACGTGCAAGAATACAAATGTCTAGAAAACGAATAGAGTTTAAAATTTTGAACTTCAATTCCCAGAGTGAAAGAATACAAATTTTATTTTTCTAATGAGATGTGAATTTTATTCAAAGTGATTGTCTTCTAAATTCACAGCTTTTTACGCTAAAGAGTATGCATCCTTTAATGCCGGTCAAAATTAGTAGCTGATTTTGAAAAAATGAAATGATACATAGTTTTCTATTTTCCTTTTGTTCCCTTTAAAGTTTCGCTTATCATGTCCTGTTTCGAGTTAATCACCAAATTTGATTTTCTTTTTCGATTTGATTGTTCGATTTATGTTTTTATTTCAATTATGATCATTATACCATTTTAATGTTCTAAGTTGAATCTATGTGGCATGGAATGACCTGACAAAGACATCAGAAGGAGCATGAGGGCAGTCAAAACAACATCATTACTAACCGAAAATAGAATAGACATTGTCATAATTGCTTCGTATGGACGAAAGTTTAAATGGACTTCCTCAAACTCTATCAAGATGAAGTCTAACCTTTGTATTCGACACCTTCCCAAAGTAACCGAAATCATAGAGGGCAAATGGATATCCTGAAATCCTCGAAGAAAACCATACTAATTAGAATGTCATGTGCCAGAAAGAATACGTGGAATACTGATTTAAAGAATTGTGAAAGTAACAACCAACTCAATGGATAAAAGCTACGTGTCATATAATTAAATAGAATTGTAATTTGATGTGGGCTCGTTAATCATAAAACGATACATAAGGGAATGTAAGTAATATCATAAACCCTAGTGAAGTTCTTGTTTTTCCATTTCTAAGTCTTGTCACTATAAATTAACTCCCGAGATCTCCAACGATCAATAAAAGGCTTAAGAAAAGGATTAGACAAGGAGGTGGTCGAGGAACTTATTGACCTCAACATTTTGGAGTCCACGATTAAAATTGACGAATTTGTAATTTGACAAGCAAAATTCGTAATCCAACTATATTTTAGCTACACATTCGTATTATTATTAAATAGATACAAATTTCACTTTTTTTTTTGTAAAGAATACATCGAAAAATGACATATAACTAAATATTGGATCAATTTCTTTAGTCACGTCACATATTTCCCTTATAAGTCATGAATTCTGCCATCCTTAAAAACAAACAGAACAGTAAAAAATAAAAATAGAAATTATTCAATAAAATAATATTTTCCACATTATTTTTTCATTCTCATTCTTCTACTCATTTTCAACCACACATTATTCAATAAAATAATATTTTCCATCACATCAATAACTTTTCCTTCTTTTTCAACTACATATTCCCCAT